TATGTATACAGGGTGGTTGGTCCAGCAATCTTGTGACTGTAGCGTTGTGTATACAGGGTGGTTGGTCCAGCAATCTTGTGACTGTAGCCTTGCGTATACAGGGTGGCTGGTCCAGCAATCTTCAAACTGCAGTCTCGTCTATACACGGTGGTTGTTTACGCAGTCTAGCCATGAAGCGAGTTGTATGCAGGGTGGTTGTTTCAATGCAGCAAACATATGCACGAAATGCACGCTCCTTGCAGTCCCTGCTTAAGTCTTCTATTTTTAGATGTTTCTTTGACCGATGTAAAGTTTATTAAAGTTCCATGTTTTCTGTTTGTTTTGTTGTTTAACGCCGCACTCAGCAATATTCCAGCTATATGGCGGCGGTCTGTAAATAATCGAGTCGGGACCAGACAATCCAGTGATCAACAACATGAGCATCGATCTACGCAATTGGGAACCGATGACATGTGTCAACCAAGTCAGCGAGCCTGGCCACCCGATCCCATTAGTCGCCTCTTACGACAAGCATGGGTTAGACCCGTGTTCGATTCCCCACATGGATACAATGTGTGAAGCGCATTTCTGGTGTCCCCCGCCGTGATATTGCTGGAATATTGCTACAAGCGGCGTAAAACCATACTCACACACTCATGGCTCTGAAAATGGCACAGGGCCCCCAGCCGTAAATCGCTGTGCAGAGTTGCGGTCCTTAGACGAGCCAGAATCCTATGATGGTGGGTTCGATCCTCAGTTTGATTTTTGTATTGTTAGCATCCTAACCTTGCTCGATAGTTTCATCAACATCTGGAACATCTGAGACCTGCATCACCTTGGGATCTCAATCCACATCACACTGACACGCACCGACACAAACTGAAATACCGCCGCGTTACGCGCAACGCCCTCTACATCAACGGCAGTTGACTCCACCTTTCCTAATTTGACTGACGTATATAACTACTGGTGGACAGGTGTTGCAAATATGTTACAATATCTCGCAGTCATTAGTATCATATTCAGACAGGAATTCAGGTTCTGATCACTCACACTGGCAGTAATGGCGGAGTCGATACCCCATGGGAGTGCTTGGCGGCAAACATCGCCTTCAGCAAGCCGTGCTACACAAAGGACACCCAAGTTCCTCCACTGAAGCTTGTTCCTTAGACCTCAAAACGGAATAATGACTTTTTAAGCAGAACACTTCAAACCGTTCTGAAATTGAATTTCAAAACTGCTATGGAGTGACAGCGGGTATTTATAGAATGAACTATAATTAGCGCACCGCAAGCGACGTGGGCCAAATCTGAGCGTCGACAAGCCTTGTCTGAAGATAGAAGGAAGAGCGAGATATTGCAATTACGCCGGCATCATCAACTCCGCTCACTACCCCGGGGCAGGCTGTCGTAACACAAACTTTCTTTTCGCAAAGATTTCTTGCAGGCTTTGTTCGAAATTCATCTGTATTGATCGAGCAGCGAATGGGTATGGGAGAGTATTCTGATACAGAGATGCGAATGAGACACCTAGACTAACGGACATCGTTTGATGTATACTTCTTGGGGAGCTAAGATTGTAATTCGAATACGCTCTGTATATTGTCTAACGGCGCCCTCAGAAATACGCCAACGACATATACCTTGCCTATTTCTGAGGGTGGGAGGTCCAGCAATCTTGTGACTGTAGCCTTGTGTATACAGGGTGGTTGGTCCAGCGATCTTGTGACTATTTTATGTAATGAGTGTAGCGTGAGAGTTTTTCCAAAAAATCCATTTCTTCACCGATTTCGTTCAAATTTGAAATATAAGTTACTCATAACATATAAAAACAATATACGGTTGCAAAAACTATAGATTTTTATTTTTAAAAATTATTGACCAAACAGTGATTCGAACCCCTGTGGTTGAGGGGATGACAAAACACGCCAATCAAACGTTCGGTTCAAGTTCACCGTGGTCGATAATAATTTTGTGAAGTCATGTAACCTGGTACCGTAATGCACAGTCAGGGGCGTTGGTTCAGTGGTTGGTAAATGTAGCCTTGTGTATACAGGGTGGCGGTCCAGCAATCTTGTGACTGTAGCCTTGTGTATACAGGGTGGCTGGTCCAGCAGTCTTGTGACTGTAGCCTTGTGTATACAGGGTGGCTGGTCCAGCAATCTTGTGACTGTAGCCTTATGTATACAGCCTTGTGTATACAGGGTGGCTGGTCCAGCAATCTTGTGACTGTAGCCTTATGTATACAGGGTGGCTGGTCCAGCAATCTTGTGACTGTAGCCTTATGTATACAGGGTGGCTGGTCCAGCAATCTTGTGACCTTGGTCCAGCAATCTTGTAACTGTAGCCTTATGTATACAGGGTGGCTGGTCCAGCAATCTTGTGACTGTAGCCTTATGTATACAGGGTGGCTGGTCCAGCAATCTTGTGACTGTAGCCTTATGTATACAGGGTGGTTGGTCCAGCAATCTTGTGACTGTAGCCTTGTGTATACAGGGTGGTTGGTCCAGCAATCTTGTGACTGTAGCCTTGTGTATACAGGGTGGTTGGTCTAACAATCGTGTGACTGTAGCGTTATGTATACAGGGTGGTTGGTTCAGCAATCCTAACCCTAACCCAAGCAACGATGCTGATCAATCTGAAACCCATAGCTACACGGAACAGTAAGCCAAGGTCTCTGACTCCTAACTGAACCATGGGTGTAACGAATCAACGAAGTAGAAATACATCGGGACCCTTTGACCCGAATTGTGAATTAAATATATCCACAAAAGGATGTTTATAAACCCGAACACATATGGAAACAGTATGTTATTTTTAAAACATACACCTGTGTCATATCATTAGTCATTCGTGTCAGCATAATTCAGTCACCTTGCTGAGCAGACACACCTTACCTTATTCAAAACGGATGCATGGCTGTGCTTTGTCCGGAAAGTAATTACCGCTTACGGTAACAATTATGTCCATGCCTATATTAGTCCCTTGGGAACAATTTAGCCTTCCTATCATGTTTTATTTAGACTACTCTCACTACGAGTTGTCGTGACAGATATGCAATAACCATGACAACCGAGATCGAGTTTCGAGATCTCTGTCTCACGGGGTAGTATTTGGGTTGGCCAAGTTGTTGGGTTTAACTCATCATAAACCCTTACCGGGTTCGATCCCCAAATGTCTATACTATTTCTTCAGTAACCATCTTCTTTATACAGGTTGTCTTTGCAAGCGTATCATATTGAATTTGTTGTTTAACTCCGTGCACATAAATAATCCAGCTAGCGGACAGTCATAAGGCTGGTACACATAGTCCGGTGACTGACAACAGCATTGATCTACGCTGACATGCTTCAGGTAAGTCAGCAAACCTGACTATCCGATCCCGTTTGTCTCCTCTGCCGTAGACCAAACGCCATGCGTATCATCGGAGCAGATACACCTTCTGCAGCCTACTGCGTGCGTAGTATAACTCGCGTGGCCCGGATAAACCTTGTATAAATTTTTAACAATTTGTTGAGTAAAACGAGTCTAGGTCCACTCACTCCTTTATTCCTTGATATTCCTGGTGTTTCCTAAGAGAGAATTACTCTCATTTACTTCACTCTATCACAGAACCCGTATACTTGCCGTAACGGCACGAATGGCCAATTTATCGGAATATCTATATACAGTAGGCTATTGTGCCTACAAATCCGGAAAAATACTTCGGTTTGAAATGGTCTGTTTTCGATCTCATAATTGCACAGAATGAAAAAGGGTTTTCGATACGTCTTCAATTGTGCAATGTTTGTTTTTATTATAACTTTGTTAGGTGACCACAGAGTAGCAGACGACATTTCGTTTCAGTGGTTTGTCAAGGCCGAATTAGACCGCCGTAATCGTCTATATTAGTGAGATTGCATCTGCTAAGGAGTTGCATAATTTGAGAAGTATTCCAATGTTAACAGTTCATAATATTCTGCAGAACTTTAGCACTGTTCGCGATGCGTACCGCAATACGTTTGGTACAAATCAACATATTTTTGTTACACAACCGACATCGCAGCGCACAGCTTGCCCTCGCTCATCCGATGTGGTCATCTAAGCAAATACTTTTTGAAGTGAAAAGGAGAGAGGGACATTTGGCATAGCAGTTGTCCTTAATAATAGACGTAATTCAATTCCCATGCCGCCCCACACTGCTAGCTTCGATGAAAGTAAAACTGGAGACAGCGTCGTCATTAAAATTCACATTAATACCTCCATGTACGCATTTGTCATCAGTGGAATTTTTCTTAGAACAGATTTCCGGCAGCCAATGCCCTTGTATGAAGTTAGAGCGGCTTGTGGAGTAAAACGGCATCCACTCACCTTTCATTTCATGATATTGTTTGAGTTCCTTAAGAGAGAAAGGTCACTGGCAACTGAAAAGCGTGGGGCGGCATTTCCAAGATGGGAATTAAATTATGTCTATTATTCATGTGGAAGACAATGTCAAAATACACAGTTATTCAGGTGGAACCTCCTATTGGAGTGTCCCAGCTGTGTTGTGAAATCACAAAACGTCAAGGTGCTGGATTTTCCGTCCGCTTCACCCAACTTGAATCACAATACAAGTGTGCAGTATTGTTTGATAAAGACAATAATAAAACCCGGAAATCTTGTGTATTTGAGAACAACCAAGACTTGGCTAGATCTTCACCAAAATACATGTACTATAGTAAATTTAACTGACCGTATACAGAAACGCATGCGCTAGAGAGAGGGTGCCTTAACTAACTATTATTTTGGCGTTTCACCATTATGAGGTGCATGTTAAAATTTAAACTGATTTATACACAATATTTAATATGCCGTCTGCGTGCATTATATAACTGAAGTAAGCAACAGTCTGCGTGCATTATAGAGCTAAAGTCAACCACAGCCTGCGTGCATTATAGAGCTAAAGTCAACCACAGGCAGCATCCATCATATGACTTCAGTGAGTCACAACCAAACTGGACCATGCTTCTTGTTGTCAGATTCATAATCTTCAGGGATCTGGTTACCAGGTCCAGTTACAACCAGGATGGATAGCCAGGTTAAGTCACAATCGGCATGGCTTATACTGCCATGTTCATAGTCTCGATGGGTCATGATGCCAGGTTAAGTCACAATCGGCATGGTTTATACTGCCATGTTTATAGTTTCCATGGGGCATGCTGCCAGGTTAAGTCACAATCGGCATGGCTTATGCTGCCATGTTCATAGTCTCCATGGGGCATGCTGCCAGGTTAAGTCACAATCGGCATGGCTTATGCTGCCATGTTCATAGTCTCCATGGGGCATGCTGTCAGGTTAAGTCACAATCGGCATGGCTTATACTGCCATGTTTAAAGTTTCCATGGGGCATGCTGCCAGGTTAAGTCACAATCGGCATGGCTTATGCTGCCATGTTCATAGTCTCCATGGGGCATGCTATCAGGTTAAGTCACACTTGGCACGGCTTATGCTGCCATGCTCATAGTCTCAATGGGGCATGCTGTCAGGTTAAGTCACAATCGGCATGGCTTATGCTGCCATGTTCATAGTCTCCATGGGGCATGCTGTCAGGTTAAGTCACAATCGGCACGGCTTATGCTGCCATGCTCATAGTCTCCATGGGGCATGCTGTCAGGTTAAGTCACAATCGGCATGGCTTATGCTTCCATGCTCATAGTCTCCATGGGGCATGCTGTCAGGTTAAGTTACAATCGGCATGGCTTATGCTGCCATGTTCATAGTCTCCATTAGTCCAGTCATCCTGGTAAGATTCTGACCTAACCCACCACAAATTGCAACAGAAATGATTTCAACTGTTTTAAGACCGTGAACCATTCCTTTATAACATATAAAAAGTCGAGGAAAATCTCAGTGGTGGAATAAGGTCAAATTCGACCCTCAAGGTCATAGGGGTCATCTTCGCTTTCGAAATCTTAGATGGAAATGCAAACTTTTTTGTAATATACTCAATTGTGTCATGTTATATATCAAATAAAAGCTATGTTTACAGGCTTTTCAAAGATATATGATTTAATACGTATTAGCCTCATCATATTTGTTTTATCTTAAAAAAACGTTCTGAAAATTATGAAAATCGTTTCAGACATCCACATGTATGTGTATGCTACGATTATGTAAAAATAGATATCTGCTAAAAACAATATTTTATTAATTTTAAAACATTGTACTTTTATATTTTAAAAAATAAAACCAAACATTTAGAAATGCATCTGAGGTGCTATAAATTTTAATTCACTAACATTGATTCGAAATATCATGTCTGGATAGGATATTTGAACTTCTGGTAGTGATATATGCCAGTTACACAATTAGTTACATACTAACAGGGAAAGCCGTTGCCAGAGCAATTCGAGCTCACTTTCTTGTAGCCACAGCTCTCAGTGCACTGTTGGTATCAAGAGCTTTTAACGTGAACCTTCCTAGGTTTTGTAAGCCTTCTGATGAAGCTGACCTTGCCACTCCCCTTTAAAACAGCGATGGTGACGATCTCAACATGGCGGCAGTGCTGTACAATGAGCTGGTGAGTGAATCCTTGACTGTTGGTGAAGTATCTGCTTCACCAACATAAAGAACATTCACCATCAGTTAAACCAAGAAAAAGATGCACTGAGCAATATGAGGACAGCGAAACCCTGGATCCAGTATATGAACATGGTATATATCTTGCGGAATTTCATTAAAGCTGAAAAATTTGGAAATGGGAAGATGCACCTAAAGTCTATTGTCATAACTTGAATACCAAATCAGTTCAGTTGTACGTTCAGTTGATGACTTCCCCTGCAAGGAACACATCCCAAGACCTGAAAACTCTTCAACTCAGGTCATCATGTTATATGCCGTTCCGATCGCTATTGGGGAGGACCTTAAACAGATCTTGTGATTGAACAGGTGCTCATGCGGAGCATTAAGACAAACGGAGGACTTACAAGGGGGGACAGGCATGGCTGAAACGCAAAGACTTATGTCAGTGCCATCATGCATGGAAGTCAGCAATGCCATGAGTCATCATACAAGTAGTAGAAACAGAAACTCTGAACTACACAAAGACAGGAGAGAGACAAGAATGTGGGCATGAAACTACTCCATTTCCTTCAAGAAACACTGCATATAGAGTGCAACTGTGAATGCAGATGATGCATGTTGTGTTGGTAGCTCTATTTTGGACTCTATGACAAACACAGCCACTGGCGATTTCAAATTCAAAAAGGAGTGAGTGAGTTTAGTTTTACGCCGCACTCAGCAATATTTCAGCTATATGGCGGCGGTCTGTAAATAGTCGAGTCTTGACCAGACAATCCAGTGATCAACAGCATGATTATCGATCTGCGCAATTGGGAACCGATGACATGTGTCAACCAAGTCATCGAGGCTGACCACCCGATCCCGTTACAAGCCTCTTACGACAAGCATGGGTTACTGAAAATCAATATTCTAACCCGAAACCTTCACGTGTCTCAAAAAGGAAGATCAAGTTGTCATGAAGGAAGATCAAGTTGTACAAATGAATGAGAAATAAGAAGAAATCTGCAACACTGGTCCAGTTTTAGTGTTTCAACGGTTTCTGATTGCCGCTAGGAAGCAAACAAACCTGCCCTGGTTCATTCATATCAACATTGGATGATGGTTTTTCCCTGGTCAAGCTTCTGATGCTGTTTATGTTCTCGATGGAGGGACTTTGCTTCATACTCTACCTTGGCCACGTGGAGAATCTTATGCTGAGTTGTGCATCATGTACTGCACATATGTCAAAATACACTATGACAGAGATACTGTTGTGTTCAATGGATACTCAAGTTCATCGAGAAAGTATACAACACAAATGAGGCGGATTGGTGGACTTTTCGGACCAACAGGTAAATTTGATGACAGTCTGATCTTATAATCAAAGAAAGAGTCATCCTCGCCACTGTTCAGAACAAAGAACAGTTCGTCATGATGTGTTCCTATCACCTAGCTGAAGGATATGACACAGTTCAGGTCCCTGGTGATGCTGATGTTGTGATAGTTCAAACAGCAGTTTCATTGGCATGCCATCAACAGTTGTCAAAGGGGACGACACGGATCTACTGGAATCGCATGATATCTTCGTGCTGTCAACCCCCAAGAAATGTTCTTTGAAAAGAATTCCAGTTTGGAATATCAGCGAAACCAAGAAGAAGCATGGAGAAGACGCTTGTCAGAACTTGTTCATACATGTTGTTTTGGCTGTGATACGACATCAAGAATCCATGGAATTGGAAAAGCTGTTGCCATGAAAAAGTTTCAGGACGATCTATGTTTCAGGGAATTATTCAACTAGCCGGTTGAATCAATAACAGCAGAACAGATCGGTGATGAAGTGTTGTAAAGTTAACTGGAAAAGGACATTGCCATTCTGTCAAGGAAGTGTAACTAATGAATTCTAAAGTAAATTGAAAAAAGGGCATTGCCAAGTCAGTCAAAGAAGATTATCTAATGAACTCAGGTAATTCATAATGAAATACCATTTATGAAGTTGAGAAATAGAGAACTCTCTTACATAACTTCAATCATTAAATGTCTTTTTTTTTATCATTGCATCTGATGAAAATGTGTTGATAAAAAATAATATTATTATATTATCATTATATTCCACATTTCTATAGTGCCCTATTTGAACTATTTCTAGATTACTCTAAGGCGCTACCGAAGTTGTTTTTCCCTTGACCATTGGATGTCAATCTCAACGGCACATCGTATTGTCAATCTCAACTCCCTGGGGGATCACTAGGCACGCCGAGTTAATGTTGTTTTCCCATCCTACCCCGGTACCCATTAACAACTGGGTGGACTGGGACACATAGTCACAGTACTTTGAATTGCACATTGGAATGCACGTTGCTGTATCCGCCCGGCCACAGGTGGGCTCGATCCCAGCACCTTAAGCTTACTGAACCCAGGCGCTTCAGACAGCTGGAGAACAAATATGGAGAACAAAAACTTTCATCGCATAAGAAATTTGCAAACTTGTTTCCAAAATATCTCCCGTTGAACTTCCGATTGTGGGAATGAAAGGGTAAGCCCTATCCCAAAGAGTTCTGTTGGTCTTCTCGAGTTTGTTGCGTTGTCATAAAGAATGTTTAGAACCCTTGTCCTGTTCCGGGAAATGGCTCCACACACTACAGCTGCTTGATATTCTTCCCACCAACTGCCTCCAAGACACCTATCTCTTATCACAATGACAGTGCGACTCTTGTCGATAAGTTCAAAAAACTGTCCTGCAATTCTGCCTCCAGGGAGGAAGTCCTGATCTTTCACACAGAACCGGAAATGAGACAGTTCCTTGTGACCTAGTAACTCCTGCACAAAGGCAATGCTTACTGTAGAATACAATACACACGCATCGAACACAAAGCGTGTGAAGAATCCATTCCGATGGTAGTGGGCATACAGACCCAGGTCATCAACAGGAGATGTGACGACAGCTTTCCTGTCGGTGCCAGTTTGTGTGTAAATGGTGGTCCTGTCTGCCGGAGGTATGTCCTCCTGTTCATGTGAAGTGTGCACGTGCGTGCCATCTGTTTCTGTTCTTCTGTTGTGGGTCCTCTTGCAGTGCTGTACAAATATCTCTCGTATTCTCCTTGATCGGTCAGCCCTCGACTGTCTCTCTCCTGAGTCAATATCCACTGGAGCATCAGCGATGCCTGAAAATGAAGCAATACGTTAGGTTAATGCGTTTCCCTTGTGTTAACTTTTATAGATTCAAAGAATTGCCATTTTTAGAGAATAGAATAAACTCACTGGCAGTGTGTTGGGGAAGAAAGTGTCCTGGGTTATGTTAGGGCATCTGATCTCAATGGTCGCCATTTATGACAAAGGTATAGGTTCCTGAAAGCCAGTTCTAACTAGGGGATCTTCAGGAGCGCACGGCGGTTGAATTCCGAAGTGTGTGGTCACAATGTGCCGTGACCTCTTATATGTCATCGGTGGGGATCCATGCTCATCCCGTCAGCCACTGGTGTACGTTACACACTATCACTTAGATGGGATATTGCTTTCTGTGGCATATAACAACATTCACTAAGTCACTCAAAGATATACTCACCGTCAACACTTTCGACGTCATCCATGCAGGCGACGTCCGCGAGGGTGGCGCTGAGGGTGTCACTGTCGCAGTGACAGTCAAACATGGTGACATCTTCTAAGCGCGCGTCTTCGTAGAAGCCAGGACACTGTTCCTTCAGAGCTGCAAGGATGACGTCATGGGGAACATTCTTACAGATCATGTCCCATTTATCTTCTTTACTAATTCCACTTGTTTTTAAGTTACTGTGCACGTTCACGGTGATACATTCCTTTTCTAAGAAGATGTCTGCAAGTCGTTTTGGGTCAATTCTATTTCTTGTCTGACACACACTGCATATGGTGGGTTCAGGCATTGCCAAGTTTACCCACACGGCTGTCCGCAGTTTTTCATACACTGACTGAGGACAGGATGAAGATATTATGGGCAGACCTTTCTCCACGAACTGCCCAATCGAAAGCGTATCCTGAACAATTCTGAGAATAGCCTCAGCTTGCATCTTCCCATTTGACATTGCTGCTATTGATCTTACGTCGCAGTCCTGGATGGCGTTCATTTCGGCCAACTCCTCCAACAATTCCGGCCCTCTTCCTTGTAAGGAAGTCACCAACTGGCGATGTACCCGTTGAAGACCAGTCCTGTGGGCATGGCAGTTTGTACCTAGAATAATTTAGTGTATAGTAAATATGAAAGTATAACGACATTCTTTGCTATGTGGTAAAAAGGGCAGGTGTGTTGAGTGAGGTGAGTTTAGTTTTACGCCGCACTCAGCAATATTCCAGCTACATGGCGGCGGTCTGTAAATAATCAAGTCTGGACCAGACAATCCAGTGACCAACAGCATGAGCATCGATCTGCGCAATTGGGAACCGATGACATGTGTCAACCAAGCCAGCAAGCCTGACCATCCGATCCCGTTACTCGCCTCTTACGTGGGTTACTGAAGGCTCATTCTAACCAGACCTTCACGGGTCCAGGTGTGTTGAGACATATTTGGAGCTATGAATACAGGTTCTGATTTGTATCTATCTTAAGCTTGCTACCCTAACTTCCAGTGGAGCAGCAAACAACATATTTCTATCTTTACTACTGCTAATTCCAGTAAGGATGAATGTTTGTACCAGGTTACAATGTTTAGGAGTTCCGTGTCATGGTGGGTGTCCAGTTGCAGGTGCTTTTCGAAATACCCGCCTGATATGGGTGTCAGACTCGGTGACCTGGCTGATGAAGCTTCACTATGCCCCCAAATCATGGGACCTTGCGTTTAGTCACCGGAATTGGTCCGGTGCTAGATATATTAACAGACTACCAAAATATATTTTGCCCTGTTATATACAATATCCAATCATCCATTTCCTTGTGAGTTCGAAATGTCGGCTTCGCAAGTAGAAGAAGATGCTATAACACTATTCTCCGGGTGCCCATAACTGACCATACATAATTCAAAATCTTTCAAAATATATCGAAGATGATTCAGAAGGCCTTGTTATTCAGATGTTTGCTAGGCATTTAGAAGTTGGTAGGGTAATACAATACACTTGATATGGATGTGCAACTTCTTTATTATTATCTTTAACCAAATGCAGAAATGTACCTTTCGTTTTCATTATACAAATTAATTTTGAGCATTTGGTGACACCAGGTGTTAAATGCAATATTTTATTGAACGGATTCATTGAAAAGAGGCGTGTGTCACCTTGGTAAAATGTCAGAGCACGTGTATGGCGCTGACAAATCTAGACCTGAGGCCTATTATGTCTTGAGGGCAACTGGGGAACGCAACTTTGCATATGGGATTACGACAAAATGTTCCATTTACGTCTATGTTGAATTCAAGGTATAATAAATCTTCATCCATCGTTACTGCTGTTGACGTCTTGCTAACATCTCTTACTCTTATGAGACAAAATATGTTTGTGCGTATTGTAAATACCTTCATTGGCAGTTTCAGTGTTTCTTTCATCTTGCAGACTATCAGGAACTGTCTGTTCCGCTGTTCCCATCTCAGCAACCTCAGCCATACCATTTTCTCCCATTGAAACAGGACATCTGCAGACGAATGCGTCAACCCTTCCAAGTTTGAATTCCTCAAAGACAGGACACGGAAGAATCTTCTCCAATGCCTCTACGATCTCCCCTGGTCGTTTCACAGTGTCAACGATGCGTGCCCACCTGGATTCAGAACTAAGAGTCGTATTCTTTAGGTCCGAATGTAGGTTGAATGAAATGGCGGTCATCTCAAACAATTCATCTGCAATGTGTCTTGGGTTGACATACGCTTTCACTTGACACACTGGGCATTTGTTGACAGATCCGGGGGGCTCGGAATCCATCAAATCTCGTAATTTCCTTGAAAGACCTTCCGGCACATATGAGGACAGAGTTGGGAGAAAGGTGTCCACAAATTGTTCAAATGCAAACATAATGCAAGCTCGTTTTAGGAAGGCTTCGTTCGCAGCCTTTGTTGACTTTATCCCTGTCATGGAGTCGGCGTCCTCGGCATCGATGACGCCTTGAGCGACAAACTCATCTGACAGGGTGGTGTTCTTGATGTCAATATTTCTAACCAGATCCGTATAGCACACCTGGATAGCTCTGCGGTGACGGTGGGTATCATCTGTGGACAATGAAACGAAGACGACTAGAATGGCTATGGAGCTAACATACTTGAAACGCTGGAAGGGTCACCTACAATGAATAAAATGTGTCCCCACTTACATACACCCAAGACATGTTTAAACAAATACTATTTAAATTGAATATATAAGGAATGTCAACATTTGTGACATCACCAAACTGTAACTTGTTCAAATCCACGACAAACTGAATAAACACAAGGTAATGTAAATGGCGTTTCCAACATGGCGGCCAAACTGAAAATCGGCTTCGATGTAGGGCTATTGATAAGTTCAAATTTCTCTGGACAAGTGGTTTCTAAGGAGCAGATGTAAGCTCGGGACCATGACGTAAGCTCACTGGACTAAACACTAAAATCGTTTAAATATTCCAAGTTTGTAAAGCAACCCCTTGCTAGAATTCATTCTTCCGAGTCATTTACTTAGAAAGGTGACTAACCAACATGACCGGATGTTGTAGCTGCCTTTATGTGAGCATGGAACTCTGCAAGAGCTTGTGCCTCTACCTCGAGGTACAGTGTTCGAACATCGTCAAGGCAACCCGTCCTTTGTAGCATGACTTCCCCAACATGGCGGTACTTCTCCTCCAAACCTCTCATTAAGTCCACGCCCAGTTGTGTCACGTGATCAGTGGCGCAGTTAGACAACGCCTCTCCGTCAACCAAACTTACAACCAGGGCATCAAGGTATTCCTGGCGAGCAGTTGACAAGGTGGGCGCCATTGCAGCCTATAAGGACAATTAAAACAGACCGATGCAAGCACATCTGATGATTCATAGAATAATAAAAAACTACTATTCAGGATAATTACAAAGAGATCTTGCGGTCGTTTGCTTCTAGTATGCACAGATGAGGAGTGAGTGAATATGGTTTTACGCCGCTTTTAGCAATATTCAACACCAGGAATGGTCTTCACACATTGTACCAACACAGATGATGAGGAGATGGTGTTTGCAGTGGTGTGTGTACGTTGATGTGATCTATTCGTAATAGCTCTGTTTTAAGTCTGTGAGGAAAATTGTGCTAGATAAAAAGATGAACTAATAAATGAATAACATTTTAAATATTGTTTCAAAAAGATGCATTAATAAAATATATTTCTCTGTTAAACCAGAAATTAACTTGCAAATTATTGTGAGTTATTGACTAGTAGTTCATGATTAGTATATAAGTATATTTAAACGTTTTGATATTCTACCAGATTTGAAGCTAATATAATCTCTGTTAATTCATGAACTTTTAATTTTATAGCCATTATTCCGTTTGCTTATGGACATAACATTTGTCGGATATCCCGACTGAATACTGACTGCTTTGTAAGTTGTCAGCTCATTGCCACACAGTGGTAAGTTGGGTGTACATATTGTATATATTGACTTTATATCTTGACAATTTGTGGAGACAGTAATGTGTCGGCCTCCAAAGTATACATTTTAGTTTTCCCCAGTTAATCTTTTCAGTTTACCTGTAGCTACTGCTCCCTTTCTATATTCACGTATAATTCATAGATACTATGTGATATGTCTCATGATATTAATCTTTCTCGTGTTTTAATAGTATTTTAACATAATATTTGCGTGGCAGTGTCATATTTTACATTTTATTTATTTGTGTAAGTACAGTATCATCTTTAAATAGTTTGGTTGTGGTAGTTTTATTGGATTAGGCTTTTATTAGAGGATGTTTGGTATTTGTCTCAAGCTTGATTGTCTGTTTTCTCCACTAACATCATCACATTTTAAATTAGTCTACCACCTAAGCTGCACAAGAGGCACCTTAAACATATGACATGACATTTTGACGGACGTATGATTTCTCTTCTTTTGTGTCACAATTTCCCTCTGTTCCAGGTTAGTTAACTTAATTATAAAACATATTATGTAGGTTCTAATATTTAAGTATAGTTATATTATAAATATTATTCTTGCTTAGGTTATAATATTGAGTGATGTGAAGGCATGAATGTGTTTTAAACATAGTGTCAGTCAAATAATGTGTGTTTTTAGGCATGATTTTCAGGTTTACTGCATCCGGATTATTATCATAAGTCTATTAGTAATAAAGTACCATGTTTACAGTCAGGCAATTACATAAGCATTTGTGCCTGCTCAACAGCCATCTTTGTCGGCCATGTTGTATACTTGTTGATACATGTAATGTTTGTGCCACTTGAAATCCTATATTATTTTAATAACTGTTTATTGTATATATTTGTAAGCATATCACAGAAAAATGCTTGTACTGTATGGTATATATATATATATTAATTATGCAGGTTTGTTTTATAGAATGATGTATGTTTTCTTGTGATATTCGAATAGGTTAGCAAAATAAACTTAAAGGTATGTGATTACTTACAGCAGTAAACAGAACTCAGTCAGTGAAAGTGGGTGAGGCCGTGTCAGAAGAAAGGTGGTTATCATATGGCGTTCCACAGGGGTTCAGTCATAAGACCACTCTTGTTTACCATCTATATGTTGCCACTAGGTGATGTTTTCCGGAACCACTGCATTGACTTTCAGTGCTTTGCAGATGACACCCAGAGCTGTATCGCCTCCAGGATTGTATCACTTCAAGAGACAAGTAACGAAGCTGAAAGCTGCATCAGTGACATCAGAACTTGATGAGAATTAACCTAAACTAAATGACAACAAAACGGAAGTATTCATTGCTGGGCCAAAGCACTTACAGGAGACGTATGACAGAATTCTCAGTCAATATTGGACCTGTAGAATGTGCCTGCCTCTTCCCAAGTGAAGAATCTAGGAGTTGTTTTTGACTCCCACATGACCATGAACAAGCAGGTCACCCAAATGTGCCAGTCTTCTCACTATCATCTTCATCAGATTGGTAAACTAAGACGATATCTTTCAGATGAAACCGCCAAAACTCTCACTCAAGCAACAGTCATATCTCGCCTTGACTATGCCAATTCACTTTTGTTTGGGATAACAGCTTCCCTGGTTCATCGACTCCAGGTTATACAAAACACAGCCGCCAGGATAATAACTCGTTGTCCTCGAAGAGACCACATCACCCCAGGTTAAGAGAACTGCATTGGCTACCCGTTGCCAGACGCATATGCTATTACTTATAGATGGGACATGCTGTTTCACAAAGGTAGACGATGCTCACTATCGCCTGAGTACCATGTATTTGGTAGGTATTTCATCCTTCTACTGTGTTTACATTTCATGTATATTATTGCCACAAATATGTGTGGATAATTATGTATTTTCTATCATGATTATTATTGTGATATTTTGCTGCTGATAATCTGCATAATACCTTTTGTGAACTGGATATATTTATCATTTATCATGTCTTATTGGAATTTATGCAGTTTTATGTAATTTGTAGCACATTAAATATACATGTCTATGTCTTAATATAGATATGCCTGTATTTAGACAGACATATAATTATTATCTGTAACTATAATGTGCAATTTGACTGGTATAGATGTGATAATGAGTGTGTCATTGATTATTGATCATTGTATATCATTATGTTACAGGGTGAAAATAAAATATACAGTATATTTGAGCAATAAACTTGTCACAGCTCATACCCCACCAGGCGTGGTCTTCATTTGAACAGTACCACCCCTTACGCTGCTGTATTTACAGAGCTTTAAACTGAGTACTAAACTTTATTTGCTCACACCCCAGTAGCTGTGTTTTTCTTCCAGAGCCCCGTCCGCTACTACGGTTGTAGCGTCCCGTTAGATCTGTGGGAATTCCCAAAAAAGTACACGCAATTGTATTATCACAATAGGTCTATATATATATTTATATCGTTTCTTCACAAGCCCAATGCGGCTTGACCCCGTCATTGTCAAGTTGGTGTCTATAACCGGGATAATGGCGTTGTTGTAGTAACAGAAAATGAACTGAACCCTGTGCATGTTTACAAGATTGATGACCCGGCCCGCCTACCTTCCCCATTAAAATCATCATCATCACACACACACACACACACACACACACACACACACACACACACACACACACACACACACACACACACACACACACACACACACACACACACACACACACACACACACACACACACACACACACACACACACACACACACACACACACTCTCTCACACACACACATCTCGGTCCCTAACTGGTATGTGGGACATTATAAGGAGGTTGTATTTATAGTTACATATCTACCGACACGTACATACCTTCGGTCTCCGTTCTACTCACAGGTTTCTATGTTTCACCGATCTGATCTGTTCGAGGAATCAGCTTGAAATGCTTGTGATACGAAGGCTACCCTCTTGCCACTTGCCAAACGTATGAATATAACACTGATCAATTGAGGGGAATAACGTGACGCTAAATATAGTGTACTCTTAAAATAGTGAATCATCACGGCCTCCATATATAGGAAAGACCATATGTTTAAGGAAGTGACCTCAGACGGGAACGCAAGGTAACGTGTCAAATGCGTAACGGGAAGGAACGCAAACGTAGACTTAGTAATCAAGAATTTACACCGGAAGGTCTGTAGTCGACTATGTTGTGGTGCCATGTGACCAGTGTGCACACTTTCAGGTTCATCGCATATCCGAGCTGATTAAGGAGATAGATATTCAGGCGGGTGATAAACCCCAGACCACAGTGTTCTAAGGTGGACAATATACGTGCAGATGGCTGTCTCCAGCTATGCAGGGAACAAGGCAAGACAGAAACACGGTTTGATACATCTAATACCCCTAATGACTTTTTTAATGATGAACATGCTTACATTAAAACACAGACATCGCTCGAGAAAATGGAGCAGGCCCTGAACGAGGAAGATGTTAATCTCGCCAACAATATTTTTACTGAACTGGTGGACTCTGAAATCCCGCGTCAAGTGGTATATATACTCACCAACATTGAAGACGCACCAGTCTAAAATTGTCCATATTTTCATCAAGATGGATTTCAGCATCACAATTATCAAGGAATATGACGAACATGAAGTCGAAGGGCATGTCTAGTTGACAAATTGCTTTAGAAACAAATTCCTGTCCACAGTATGACTTAATTCCAAAACGCATCAACATGCAGCCACGCCATGAAAAAAGAGCGAATTTCATTTTGAAATCATGCTGACTGTGACATTAAAAGCAGGTGTATGAGAAACGATTCTCATTGCTTCACTAACGATTGTGAAACGAGGAGAGAGATGCCGAGGTTAACACCTCACGAAAGAGAACGTGCACTAGGCATGATTCAGGTTGGCACCAGCAGCAGGTATATTGCTCGACAACTTGGACTTGGCCACTCCACCATCGTTAGGCTTCATAGACGACATTAGCAGACAGGCAGCACCCGTGACCTTCATCACCCGTGGGATCATCAGCGCTGACACCATGCGACGCCGTCTACACGCTACAGGGCTCCATGCTCGACGTCCTTACGTTGGACCAGTTCTGACTGACAAGACACCGTGATGAGCGTATACAATGGGCTAACAGGTATGTTCAGTAAAGGTTACAACAATGGCATGGTGTGGTAGTCACTGACGAGTCACGTCTTCATCTACGTAAACTGACGGCCGATTACGTGTTTGGCGTAGACGTGGTGAGCGTTATGCTGAGTGTGTAGTTCATACAGACCATTGGGGTGGTGGGAGTGTCATGGTCGGGGTGGGGGTTGGGGGGTTGGGACTGCCTTCACGTCTGTCAAGGGAGAGTTAATACCCTTTACTACCGTGACCAGATTCTTCAGAATCACGTCGTATCATTGTTCAATCGCCACCAAGATGTCCATACTTTTCAACATGACAACGCACGGCTACACACAGCTAGACTTTTCACGCAGTATCTGGCCCAGCAACACATCCAGGTAATTCATTGGCCTGCACTGTCCCCAGATGTATCCCCATTGCTGAAAGCGTGGGGCGGCATTTCCAAGATGGGAATTAAATTATGTCTATTATTCATGTGGAAGACAATGTCAAAATACACAGTTATTCAGGTGGAATCTCCTATTGGAGTGTCCCAGCTGTGTTGTGAAATCACAAAACGTCAAGGTGCTGGATTTTCCGTCCGCTTCACCAAACTTGAAACACACATACAAGTGTGTAGTATTGTTTGATAAAGACAATAATAAAACCCGGAAATCTTGTGTATTTGAGAACAACCAAAATATACTATGGTAAATTTAACTGACTGTATACAGAAACGCATGCGCTAGAGAGGGTGCCTTAACTAACTATTATTTTGACGTTTCACCATTATGAGGTGCATGTTAAAATTTAAACTGATTTATACACAATATTTAATATGCCGTCTGCGTGCATTATATAACTGAAGTGAACAACAGTCTGCGTGCGTTATAGAGCTAAAGTCAACCACAGTCTGCGTGCATTATAGAGCTAAAGTCAACCACAGTCTGCGTGCATTATAGAGCTAAAGTCAACTACAGTCTGCGTGCATTATAGAGCTAAAAGTCAACTACAGTCTGCGTGCATTATAGAGCTAAGTCAACTACAGTCTGTCTGCGTGCATTATAGAGCTAAAGTCAACCACAGTCTGCGTGCATTATAGAGCTAAAGTCAACCACAGTCTGCGTGCATTATAGAGCCTAAAGTCAACCACAGTCTGCGTGCATTATAGAGCTAAAGTCAACCACAGTCTGCGTGCGTTATAGAGCTAAAGTCAACCACAGTCTGCGTGCATTATAGAGGCTAAAGTCAACTACAGTCTGCGTGCATTATAGAGCTAAGTCAACTACAGTCTGTCTGCGTGCATTATAGAGCTAAAGTCAACCACAGTCTGCGTGCGTTATAGAGCTAAAGTCAACCACAGTCTGCGTGCATTATAGAGCTTAAGTCAACCACAGTCTGCGTGCATTATAGAGCTAAAGTCAACCACAGTCTGCGTGCATTATAGAGCTAAAGTCAACTACAGTCTGCGTGCATTATAGAGCTAAGTCAACTACAGTCTGTCTGCGTGCATTATAGAGCTAAAGTCAACCACAGTCTGCGTGCGTTATAGAGCTAAAGTCAACCACAGTCTGCGTGCATTATAGAGCTAAAGTCAACTACAGTCTGCGTGCATTATAGAGGCTAAGTCAACTACAGTCTGTCTGCGTGCATTATAGAGCTAAAGTCAACCACAGTCTGCGTGCGTTATAGAGCCAAAGTCAACCACAGTCTGCGTGCATTATAGGGCTAAAGTCAACCACAGGCAGCATCCATTATATGACTGCAGTGAGTCACAACCAAACTGGACCATGCTTCTTGTTGTCAGATTCATAATCTTCCGGGATCTGGTTACCAGGTCCAATTACAAACAGGATGGATGGCCAGGTTGGTGTCCTCCCATTTGTGAGAACTCCCAGTTGTGAGACACATTAGTTAAGAGCTAAAGTCAACCACAGTCTGGTGTCCTCCCATTTGTGAGAACTCCCAGTTGTGAGACACATTAATTAATGGTTCAGTGCACATAGGTGGTGTTTCCACATCCCTACAATGAAAGTGGGATCAGCCCAGCCCAGTACCCACAGGAGGCATAGTTCATTGATGAGTTGATTAATGAAATAGATTATCAAAGATTATATTTACACAGAAGAAATAGTTCATTGAATATTTTATTTATTCAGAAGAATATGTAATTATGATAACACATTTTTATTGACTATTATGAAGTTTGAAAGTCATTTTGGTTTAAACATATTTTGTTATTATTTATGAAAATGAATTGGGATTGGTGAAGTATTACTGCTAATGTTAACACCGCTAAGTAGTCATAAGAGACTTGTGTGTATCTAACAAGCTATTGTAGGAATACAAATCAATCACGAGAAGGTTGTTGAGTTAATTTCAGTATTTCCCTGTGAAAATTTGAAGGTTGTGTCTTGATGATATAATCATGGACGGATTCAACTATTTCCTGGTTTACACAAGGAGTAAATTCTTTGTTTCCGTTCAAAAAATTATCCAGGTTATAACGGGTAGTTGATATCCACAAGAGCAACATGCACTGTCTATTAAATGTCTGTTATACTTATCGGCGTTTTGGTCGCTAGATCCGAGCCTGAGGCAGCAATGAACGATTTGACAAAAACAAGAGCCATAATTAAGATCAATATAAATCTTGTTTTCGGTTTTGTAATTAGGTTTTAAAATTCTTTGAGACTGCATGACTCTTTGGAATTTGGTAGGGCATTCCATAAATTTATTGTGTCGGGTAGAAAGGGTTTGGCATAAGGGGCATTTCGACTGTAAATTTCAGAGTTATTTCTTAAACTATAGCTTGTAGTTTCGTAGTTTCTGAGTAGGTAAATTAATTTCTCTTTGATCACGAAGTTACCTACACAAAGTGTTTAATTATTAAAGACATTTACCTGAGTATGTTAATCAATTTATCTTATAAAGTTTCATTAAGTTACCTCCACAAGATTCAGTTACATAGCAAATCAGTAATTAGCTATTGGGTGAATCCATTCTATCAGACAGGGGAGTATGGTGTGTTTTGTTGTTAATTACCTACGCCACTGTCTCATAACTGGGAGTCTCACAACTGGGAGTTCTCACAAATGGGAGTAGACCGCCAGGTTAAGTCACAATCGGCATGGCTTATGCTGCCATGTGTATAGTCTCCATGGGGCATGCTGTCAGGTTAAGTCACAATCGGCATGGCTTATGCTGCCATGTGTATAGTCTCCATGGGGCATGCTGTCAGGTTAAGTCACAATCTGCATGGCTAATGCTGCCATGTTTATAGTCTCCATGAGGCATGCTGTCAGGTTAAGTCACACTCGGCATGGCTTATACTGCCATGCTCATAGCCCGATGGGGCATGATGTCAGGTTAAGTCACAATCGGCATGGCTTATGCTGCCATGTTCATAGTCTCCATGGATCATGCTGTCAGGTTAAGTCACACTCGGCATGGCTTATGCTGCCATGTTCATAGTCTCCATGGATCATGCTGGCAGGTTAAGTCACAATCTGCATGGCTTATGCTGCCATGTTCATAGTCTCCATGGATCATGCTGGCAGGTTCAGTCACACTCGGCATGGCTTATGCTGCCATGTTCATAGTCTCCATGAGGCATGCTGTCAGGTTCAGTCACACTCGGCATGGCTTATGCTGCCATGTTCATAGTCTCCATGGATCATGCTGGCAGGTTCAGTCACACTCGGCATGGCTTATGCTGCCATGTTCATAGTCTCCATGGGGCATGCTGTCAGGTTCAGTCACACTCGGCATGGCTTTTATGCTGCCATCTTTATAGTCTCCATGGATCATGCTGTCAGGTTAAGTCACAATCGGCATGGCTTATACTGCCATGCTCATAGTCTCGATGGGGCATGCTGTCACGTTAAGTCACAAACTGCCTGGCTTATGCTGCCATGCTCATAGTTTCCATGGGGCATGCTCTCAGGTTAAGTCACAAACTGCCTGGCTTATGCTGCCATGCTCATAGTCTCGATGGGGCATGCTGTCAGGTTAAGTCACAATCGGCATGGCTTATGCTGCCATGTTCATAGTCTCCATGGGGCATGCTGTTAGGTTAAGTTACAATTGGCATGGCTTATGCTGCCATGTTTATAGTCTCCATGGGGCATGCTGTCAGGTTAAGTCACACTCGGCATGGCTTATGCTGCCATGTTTATAGTCTCCATGGGGCATGCTGTCAGGTTAAGTCACACTCGGCATGGCTTATGCTGCCATCTTTATAGTCTCCATTGGGCATGTTGTCAGGTTAAGTCACAATCGGCATGGCTTATGCTGCCATGTTCATAGTCTCCATGGGGCATGTTGTCAGGTTAAGTCACAATCGGCATGGCTTATGCTGCCATGTTCATAGTCTCCATGGATCATGCTGGCAGGTTCAGTCACAGGCACCATGGTTCGTGTTGCTTGACTTCACCTTTGCCTGCTCTGTACCGGGCCCTCTTAAAAATATGGAGAACGAAAACTTTCATCGCATAAGAAATTTGCAACTTGTTTCCAAAATCTCTCCCGTTTAACTTCCGATTGTGGGAATGAAAGGGTAAGCCCTATCCTAAAGAGTTCTGTTAGTCTTTTTGGAGTTTGTTTCGTTGTCATAAAGAATGTTTAGAACCCTTGTCCTGTTCCGGGAATTGGCTCCACACACTACAGCTGCTTCATATTCTTCCCACTCACTGTCTCCAAGACACCTATCTCTTATCACAATGACAGTGCGACTCCTGTCGATATGTTCAGAAATCTGTTCTGCAATATAGCAGCCAGGGAGGAAGTCCTGATCTTTCACACAGAACCGGAAATGAGACAGTTCCTCGTGACCTAGTATCTCCTTCACAAAGTCAAAGCTTTCTTCAGAATGCAATACATACGCATCGAACACAAAGCTTCTCGGCTGTTCAAACTCATGTGTCGCCCCTGTAAGTCGAGCCCATCTGTTCTTCAGATTTTTGTAGAGGCGTGTGAAGAATCCATTCCGATAGTAGTAGGCATACAGACCCAGGTCATCAACAGGAGATGTGACGACAGCTTTCCTGTCGGTGCCAGTTCGTGTGTAAATGGTGGTGCTGTCGGCCGGAGGTATTCTTTTGTTGAACCTGTCCTCCTGTTCATGTGAAGTGCACGTGCGTGTCATCTGTTTCTGTTCTTCTGTTGTGGGTCCTCTTGCAGTGCTGTACAAATATCTCTCGTATTCTCTTTGATCGGTCAGACCTCGACTCTCTCTCTCTCTGAGTCAATATCCACTGGAGCATCAGCGATGCCTGAAAATGAAGCAATACGTTTGGTTAATGCGTTTCCCTTGTGTTAACTTTTATAGATTCAAAGAATTGCCATTTTTAGAGAATAGAATATACTGACTGGCAGTGTGTTGGGGAAGAAAGTGTCCTGGATTATGTTAGGGCATCTGATCCCAGTGGTCGCCATTTATGACAAACGTATAGGTTCCTGGAAAGCCAGTTCTAACTAGGGGATCTTCAGGGATGCACGGCGGTTGAATTCCGAAGTGTGTGGTCACAATGTGCCGTGACTTCTTATATGTCATCGGTGGGGATCCATGCTCATTCCGTAAGCCACTGGTGTACGTTACACACTATCACTTAGATGGGATATTGCTTTCTGTGGCATATAACAACATTCACTAAGTCACTCAAAGGTATACTCACCGTCAACACTTTCGACATCATCCATGCAGGCGACGTCCGTGAGGGTGGCGCTGAGGGTGTCACTGTCGCAGTGACAGTCAAACATGGTGACATCTTCTAAGCGCGCGTCTTCGTAGAAGCCAGGACACTGTTCCTTCAGAGCTGCAAGGATGACGTCATGGGGAACATTCTTACAGATCAGATCCCATTTATCTTCTTTACTAATTCCACTTGTTTTAAGTTACTGTGCACGTTCACGGTGATACATTCCTTTTCTAAGAAGATGTCTGCAAGTCGTTTTGGGTCAATTCTATTTCTTGTCTGACACACACTGCATATGGTGGGTTCAGGCATTGCCCAGTTTACCCACACGGCTGTCCGCAGTTCTTCATACACTGACTGAGGACAGGATGAAGATATTATGGGCAGACACTTCTCCACGAACTGCCCAAACGAAAGCGTATCCTGAACAATTCTGAGAATAGCCTCAGCTTGCATCTTCCCATTTGACATTGCTGCTATTGATCTTACGTCGCAGTCCTCGATGGCGTTTATTTCGTCCAACTTCTCCAACAATTCCGGTCCTCTTCCTTGTAGGTAAGTCACCAACGGGCGATGTACCTGTTGAAGACCAGTCCTGTGGGCATGGCAGTTTGTACCTAGAATTATTTAGTGTATAGTAAATATGAAAGTAAAACGACATTCTTTGCTATGTGGTAAAAATGGCAGGTAGGTTGAGTGAGTGAGTGAGTTTAGTTTTACGCCGCACTCAGCAATATTCCAGCTACATGGCGGCGGTCTGTAAATAATCGAGTCTGGACCAGACAATCCAGTAACCAACAGCATGAGCATCGATCTGCGCAATTGGGAACCGATGACATGTGTCAACCAAGCCAACGAGCCTGACCACCCGATCCCGTTACTCGCCTCTTACGACAAGCATGGGTTACTGAAGGCTCATTCTAACCCGGACCTTCACGGGTCCAGGTGTGTTGTGACATATCTGGAGCTATGAATACAAGTTCTGATTTGTATCTATCTTAAGCTTGCTATCCTAACTTCCATTGGAGCGGCAAACAACATATTTCTATCTTTACTACTGCTAATTCCAGTAAGGATTAATGTTTGTACCAGATTACAATGTTTTGGAGTTCCGTGTCATGGTGGATGTCCAGTTGCAGGTGCTTGTCGAAATACCCGCCTGATATGGATGTCAGACTCGGTGACCTGGCTGATGAAGCTTCACTATGCCCCCAAAGCATGGGACCTTTGCGTTTAGTCACCGGAATTGGTCCGGTGCTAGATATATTAACAGACTACCAAAATATATTTTGCCCTGTTATACAATATCCAATCATCCATTTCCTTGTGAGTTCGAAATTTCGGCTTCGCAAGTAGAAGAAGATGCTATAACACTATTCTCCGGGTGCCCATAACTGACCATACATAATTCAAAATCTTTCAAAAGATATCGAAGATGATTCAGAAGGCCTTGTTATTCAGATGTTTGCTAGGCATTTAGAAGTTGATAGGGTTGATACAATACACTTGATATGGATGTGCAACTTCTTTATTATTATCCATCATCAAGTATTGTATTGGCCGTGTTATTCTTCAAATTGACTCCATTTTAACCAAATGCAGAAATGTACCTTTCGTTTTCATTATACAAATTAATTTTGAGCATTTGGTGACACCACGTGTTAAATGCAATATTTTATTGAACGGATTCATTGAAAAGAGGCGTGTGTCACCTTGGTAAAATGTCAGAGCACGTGTATGGCGCTGACAAATCTAAACCTGAGGCCTATTATGTCTTGAGGGCAACTGGGGAACGCAACTTTGATATGGGATTACGACAAAACGTCCCATTTACGTCCATGTTGAATTCAAGGTATAATATATCTTCATCCATCGTTACTGCTGTTGACGTCTTGCTAACATCTCTCACTCTTATGGAGACAAAATATGTTTGTGCGTATTGTAAATACCTTCATTGGCAGTTTCAGTGTTTCTTTCATCTTGCAGACTTTTAGGAACTGTCTGTTCCGCTGTTCCCATCCCAGCATCCTCAGCCATACCATTTTCTTCCATTGAAACAGGACATCTGCAGACGAATGCGTCGACCCTTCCAAGTTTGAATTCCTCAAAGACACGACACGGAAGAATCTTCTCCAATGCCTCTACGATCTCTCCTGGTCGTTTCACAGTGTCAACGATGCGTGCCCACCTGGATTCAGAACTAAGAGTCTGATTCTTTAGGTCCGAATGTAGGTTGAGTGAAATGGCAGTCATCTCAAACAATTCATCTGCAATGAGGCTTGGGTTGACATACGCTTTCACTTGACACACTGGGCATTTGTTGACAGATCCGGGGGCTCTGAATCCATCAAATCTCGTAATTTCCTTGAAAGATCTTCCGGCACATATGAGGACAGAGTTGGGAGAAAGGTATCCACAAATTGTTCAAATGCAAACATAATGCAAGCTCGTTTCAGGAAGGCTTCATTCGCAGCCTTTGTTGACTTTATCCCTGTCATGGAGTCGGCGTCCTTGGCATCGATGGCGCCTTTAGCGACAAACTCATCTGACAGGGTGGTGTTCTTGATGTCAATATTTCTAACCAGATCCGTATAGCACACCTGGATAGCTCTGCGGTGACGGTGGGTATCATCTGTGGACAATGAAACGAAGACGACTAGAATGGCTATGGAGCTAACATACTTGAAACGCTGGAAGGGTCACATACAATGAATAAAATGTGTCCCCACTTACATACACCCAAGACATGTTTAAACAAATTCTATTTAAATTGAATATATAGGGAATGTCAACATTTGTGACATCACCAAACTGTAACTTGTTCAAATCCACGACAAACTGAATAAACACAAAGTAATGTAAATGGCGTTTCCAACATGGCGGCCAAACTGAAAATCGGATTCGATGTAGGGCTATTGATAAGTTCAAATTTCTCTGGACAAGTGGTTTCTAAGGAGCAGATGTAAGCTCAGGACCATGACGTAAGCTCACTGGACTAAACACTAAAATCGTTTAAATATTCCAAGTTTGTAAAGCAACCCCTTGCTAGAATTCATTCTTCGAGTCATTTACTTAGAAAGGTGACTAACCAACATGACCGGATGTTGTAGTTGCCTTTATGTGAGCATGGAACTCTGCAAGAGCTTGTGCCTCTACCTCGAGGTACAGTGTTCGAACATCGTCAAGGCAACCCGTCCTTTGTAGCATGACTTCCCCAACATGGCGGTACTTCTCCTCCAAACCTCTCATTAAGTCCACGCCCAGTTGTGTCACGTGATCAGTGGTGCAGTTAGACAACGCCTCTCCGTCAACCAAACTTACAACCAGGGCATCAAGGTATTCCTGGCGAGCAGTTGACAAGGTGGGCGCCATTGCAGCCTATAAGGACAATTAAAACAGACCGATGCAAGCACATCTGATGATCCATAGAATAATAAAAACTACTATTCAGGATAATTACAAAGAGATCTTGCGGTCGTTTGCTTCTAGTATGCACAGATGAGGAGTGAGTGAATATGGTTTTACGCCGCTTTTAGCAATATTCAACACCAGGAATGGTCTTCACACATTGTACCAACACAGATGATGA